AAATGAGTGCAATGCTTCCCTTTTTCCAGTTGCTGGGGACTTCACCTGACTGCCACAACTTTTCAAATATCATGAACAGTGGCTTGGCAACTACACCAGACAATTGCCTCAGGTCTCTGGGATGCATCTTGTCCGGTCCCATAGACTTATATATGTTTAGGTTCCTCAGGTGGTCACGAACCTGATCTTTTACAGCAGGAGGGACTTTGCTCTCCTCCAGTCCCTGCTTTGCAGTCCTGCCTTTACTGTTAAGACTTGTGTTGAGGAATCCTGTGTCTCTGAAACTAGGGTGGAAGCCCAGAGCAAGGAAGACTTGCTTTTGTTGGAGCAGGATATATGTTAGGGAGTGTCCAAATCGGACATAAATAAGTCCATGTGAACTGGTGCGATGTATCCATGAGTATTGAGGGAGCTGGCTGATGTCATTGTGAGGCCACTCTTGATTACCTTTGAAAGGCCTTGTTATGCTAGAAGTTGCTCCTGAGAGAAGGCAGCAATGAGAACGATCCACGGAACTAGAGCCTCACACCCATCCCTGGAAAGATGATGGAGAAAATCCTTCCAAAAACCATTGCCAAACACATGAAAGACAAGGTCACTGTGAGTAGTCAGCATGCTTTAATGACAATGAAATTGTGCTTCGCTAACTTCACAGCCTTCTGTGATGAGATGACTGACTTGGTAGATGAGGGTAGTGCAGCGGAAATGTTTATCTCCATTTTAATGAGGCTTTTGGCAGTCTCTGATAACATCATAGATAAGCTGATGAAGTATATAATCATAAAACCGAATAATAGAATAGTTTAGGTTGGAAGGGACTTTTAAGGGTCATCCAGTCCAATTCCTTTGCAATGAGCAGGGTCATCTTCAACTAGATCAGGTGGTTCCCCAGCCCAGTATGGGCTGGATAATTGGATAGTGAGGTAGATTAGATTGGAAACAGCCTGAATTTCTGAGTTCAAAGGGTTGTGATTAGCAGTACAAAGTCAAGCTGTAGACAAGTCTCTTGTGGTCAATACTAGGGTCATACCACTTAAAATCTTCATTAATGACTTTGACAATGGGGCAAAGTGCATGCTCACAAGTTTGCAGATGATTCAAAACTGAGAACAACGGTTGATGTACCTGATGATGTCCCTCTGAACAGAGACAACTGACAGGTTGAAGAGATGGACAGAGAAGAACCTCATGAAGTTCAGTAAAGCGAAATGCTGTTTTGCATCTGGGGAGGCATAACTTTGTGTACCAGTACAAGCTGAAGCCTGACTTACTAAAAGCAGCTTTGCAGAGAGTCTATGTTCAAGCACTTCCCGAATCACCTGTTACAGCCTGCTGTTTTATCAGTCAAGTTTCTCACCATGTTTAGGCTGATGTGACTGAAGCCCTTTCTGCAGCTGCTTGCAGTCAAATCCGTGTAAGAGAAGGGTGTAACTGCCCACTGAGATAGCCTGCTGCCAGTTTCAGCTTGATATACAGCATGGATACGTGAAGTTTGGCAGTTCACGAGCTGCTTCAGAACCAACTCCTGAGGTTAAACAGTTAAAGGTTGTCACTGGTCTAGTAATTACTTCCAGTCTACCAGCTGAGGAACAGTAAACCTCCCTTCAGCACAACCCTAGCCTCATTGCCACCCACCGGCCTTTACCCACTGCCAGACTAGCTGATGGTAGAAGCAAATGTGGTAAACTGAATCTTGTGAAAAATAGCAAGAAAATTGCTTGTTTGTCAGCCAGAGATGTCTGCTGGTTAGGTTCATCATGCAGGCACACATAATTTGCCAGTATCACACAGTCTGCTGCAGCTTTATCATATCTCCTTGCCTCAGGAAAGCCATCTCCAGGGAGAACTGCTAGCACTCCCTGCTCAACCCAGCGCCTCCCACCAGCATAGGAGTTTCTACCTTCCCAATGCTAAAATAAATATTTTTTGATGTGTTTATTTTAAAACATGTTTTGTTGAAAAAATATTTTCCCAAACTGTCAAGAGTTCCATGAATAATTTTGATGTAATAGAATAAAAAGCCACAGCCTGCATGCATGCTCTGTGAAACTTCTCCTTTCTGTCACCCTCTTCACAAGCATCGTATTCCCTCTTGCTCATGGCCATGTCATGTCCTTCCAGGGGACCAGACCTCCAAGTCACCAGCCACTGGGGAAGTTTGTCTCTCTCCTGCCTTTCCTTAGGGACAAATACCCTCCATGGTGGCTGTAGCCTCCCTGGTGCTCAGACTCCTCGAGGATATCTCACTTGTGCTGTCGAGGGGAAAGCTAAAACAAAGCTTGCTCTGTCAGCTTTGAGTGCCCTCTGTTTTTGTTACAAAATTCATAACTGGCCTGTGCTGACTGAATAGAATTACAAAGGTAAATATTTATTTGTGTGCACAAAGTGTCTCAGCCGAACTGGGCACACCCAAGTGATTTTTCTTCAGGGGTTTTATAGTTTACACTATAAAGGTATGATATGAATCATCCAATGACCTACTAATATTTCTAATTATTCAGTCATTAAAAGGTATATTTTGTAGGTCTTGCAAGCATCATCATCCACCAGAAGCTTTGTGGTTTATCTGTTAATCCAGATGTTTGTGGTTGACTTCAGCGAAGTTATTGGGCCTCGTTAGCAACCTGTGTTTCTCTTAGATACGGATCCTTCAGTTAATTTTGTGAGAACAGAGGTTTCCTTATCTCAGTCGATCACTTCTTCTTTTTTAGTAGGGCTAGGTTATGGGTCTTGGGTCTGAAGACAATGGCACAGCAATTACAGACTAATAATGTTCGCTCCTAAGGACTGTGTGATATCAATGTTATAGGTTGATTTCAATAGTTTGGCGAGAAAATGATTCTCAACAGCCAATAACTGTAAAATTAATAGTTAAAATTTATTTAGGGCAAGCAAGCAAACAGCGCTGGGTGCGCCGGGAGTCTCCGCTCCACCAAGACGCACACCCGCCATAGCAGTTTTCTTGTATTTATACAAACATACTCATAGCCCTCCCAAATGTCAGTCTCTCTCGGGAAATCATTTCCATAATCCCCGCCTCAAGATCCGCCTCAGGCTCCTCCTTGACATGCCTTCTGGTGGTCATGGGCTGAGGTCTTCAGGATGAAGGCCGGAGGTCTTCCTCACTGTGCACTTTTCACCTCTTTCCTAAAATTCCTGATTTTGCTGAGCTTGCAGAGCCAAACTGGTTCCAGCCTGGTCTGTCCTTGAGTGGACATCTGGTCGCCTTACCTGTCACTATCTGAAGACAAATGTTAGTTTTTATCAGTCCTTATCTTTCCTTCATGGCCTAGTTTTTGTGTATCCCTTCCTCCCTACAGATGTGTGGGTCGTGAGTCACAGCCTTGCCAGCGTCTGTCTTATCTGTCTTATCTTTTCTCACCAGTCTCCTCCTGGGCAGCTAGTATTTTACAGCAGGGACTAGCACTTTACAATTTCTAACATTTTACAGCAATAATCCATACAACAGTTAATGTAACAGTTAGTATTTAGATGATAATTGGTTAGTATTTAATATTTAAACAATAACTAATATATATCTCCTCCTAAACATGCACCAAACCCATATGTGCAGCAGTGTTAGTACCAATATTAAAGCAGCTGTAGCTATTAACAGTATTATAGCGGGATATTTTAAATGACTGAAAAATCCTGAAGCATAAGGTGACCACCTAAAGAGTGTTTCCCAGCATTTATGCTCTCCTTCCTTTTCTACTCTTTTTTTTTTTTTTTTTTTTACAATTTTCTTCTGTTTCGTTTTGCATCACAATGAACTGCCACCAAAGCATTCTGTGTATCACTCTGGTGGTTAGCAGCATCATGAGACATTTCACAGGTTTACGTTTTTGCATTTCACAGAGGTGACTTGAGCTGAGTTAACTTAAAAGTGGTTACACAAGGTTAGTCATACGCAAGCTTCTCCCACTTAACACTATGCAACAAGAGGTTTAGACCATAGCTGTTGCCCCTTTTCTGTAACGTTTAAGCAAGCCTTGCACAAAGCATTTGCTCAGTATGTCCCTTATATAGTAACACATTAGCAAGCTCGTCTACCCTTCAAAAATATTGTGGGTTTCTGTGCTTAGCTTATAACTTGCTTAACTAGTTCCTGAGACGATGGTGGTTTCTATTTGATTGGCAAATTCTAATATATCACTTATTACATCGATTTATATCACACTGTCCAGGCAGAGATGTAAAAGCATTTGCTCAGTATGTCCCTTATATAGTAACACATTAGCAAGCTCGTCTACCCTTCAAAAATATTGTGGGTTTCTGTGCTTAGCTTATAACTTGCTTAACTAGTTCCTGAGACGATGGTGGTTTCTATTTGATTGGCAAATTCTAATATATCACTTATTACATCGATTTATATCACACTGTCCAGGCAGAGATGTAAAAAGGCAGAAGAAGAAAAAGGAAAGGAAAGAGGAAAGGAAAGAGGAAAGGAAAGGAAAGAGGAAAGGAAAGAGGAAAGGAAAGAGGAAAGGAAAGAGGAAAGGAAAGAGGAAAGGAAAGAGGAAAGGAAAGGAAAGGAAAGGAAAGGAAAGGAAAGGAAAGGAAAGGAAAGGAAAGGAAAGGAAAGGAAAGGAAAGGAAAGGAAAGGAAAGGAAAGGGGAAAGGAAAGAGGAAAGGAAATGAAAGGAATCGCAGGTAGAAAGACCTGGCAGACAGCCGGCTTTCGTCACTGCAAATTAATGTGCTTCTTCCGGGCTTGGGAAGATACTCTCTCCTAAACATTAAGCCCTGGAAGTGGGGAGCGACAGCCCCTTTGTGCGAGATTCGGGGTTTTTCACAATATTTCAGGCCGCTTCAGGAGGCGCTCTCCCGTTTTCCCGCTACAGCCCCCGTGGCGATCCCAGGGCTGGCCGGGAGCGGGACGACACCCCCCGC